GTGAAATTTGAAAATTTCATGGAGACAATTTATGCGCAGGTCATGTCAAGTACAAATCAATCGAGCCCCCAGTGTCAGCATCGTAGCGACCTAAAAATATAAAAAACGATATTTCCGCAAAAATAATTGAAGAATCCACCGAAAGTGACAGCGACCACGTGAGTGTTAGTTTATTTCTTAGCTGCTAGCTATCAAAAAGAACAACACTGAGCGAATTACGAAGTTACTCTCACAAAGGGCGAAATAACGAAAAAGTAAAGACACGGAGAACTACATAGCAGAATATCAAATCAATATCAAAATGTTATTTTTAATAATAACATCAAATTAACACTTAAATTAATCAATGGGGTTTTTATTTTTACAATTCGAAACTATTAAATTAAACAAAGTTAAAGCATATTCGTCAAATCTTGCTTGTTTACACAAGTGTTTTAACAGCTGTTTCTTTATATGGCAGTAGCTTTTTTCTGCTAGTTGATATTTCACTAGCAGAAACTATAAGCTCTCTCAGTTTTCCGGCAGAAACTTCGCTAGCTAGTGATGGGATAATCGGGTACGTGCAATATATGCGTGTGTAAGTCACACGAAAACATGAAACTGAAATTCGTTGCGATTAAACAAGAATTAAAAAAGAAAAGTTTCACTTTCAATACTAAATATCGTCATGTTTTCCAAGATATGCTTTGCGAAACTGTTAACTCTGACTGTTTTCTTTCAACTTGTGACAACTGCCCTACACTAAATACTATTTATAATAAATTGAAACTCTTTCTTGCGAACATTGGAGTAACACAAATACAGTTTCAAGAATAGTAAAGAACAGACAGATCTGTTCAAAATTTAACGGAATTACAGTATTCTTCATATTTGCAATCAAAATATATTTATTTACTTACATATGTATTTATTTACTTATTATTTATAAAATGTTTATGATTCAATAAATTTATAAATAATTCAATGAAAAATAAGTAATTAAAAAAAAAATTGATGGTCAAGTAATTTTAAATAAATAAATATACATATCTATATAGACATATTATGAAATATTAATATAAATTTATAAAATATGTTAGAATATTTTATTTTTTCAGGTGCGTTTGTTTAATAAAATAGATTATCTACCAATTGAACAATTTCTAGACCTTCTTGTTGGTGACATGCCGGCAGTTGTTAAACATAATTTTAACATATAGCCACCTGCCAAATTGCTCATTTTGTTCAGATGAAATATGCAGTAGGCGACGAAGAGTTTATTATTACTTTGGGTTTTTCAGAAGGTTATACCTGCCAAGTTCATGTCCAGTCTCAACATTGGACTAATGTGTAAGCGACGTTTTTTTTTTGTTTACAGACCAAAATGTAATAAAAACAAGTAAGGAAGGGCAAAGTTCGGATGTAACCGAACATTTTATACTCTCGCAAAGTCAAATGGTATACTCGTTTGAGATTTCTTTGTGGATTGACTGATATTTTCGGTAGAAGGTCAACTCTAGGCACTGGGGTCCACATATTTAGTACTTAGGGGTTTGAACAGTTTTGGTTCGATTTAGACAATTTTTGGCCGCAAGGTGGCACACTTTAATTGCATTATTCACGCAAAGTTTTACCCCGATATATCATTGTTACCTGATTTGCATAGTGGAAAGTGAAAGAATCAGATGGAATTGAAAATGGTGTTACATGGGAAGTAAGCGTGGTTGTAGTCCGATTTCGCCCATTTTCGCACTATAATATAGAAATTTAAAAATAACTGCAACATAGAAACATGAAAAGAACATTATGCACCGAATTTGGATAAAATCGGTTGAGCAGATCTCAAGATATGGGTTTTCACCTAAAAGTGGGCTGTGCTACGCCCACTGACTAATTTTGAAAGCGGTTCCTATAAAGCCAATTTATACCATCTCAGGGTTAAAATTTAATGTCTCTGGCGTGTTTAGTGCTTGATTTATCGCGCTTTAAGTAGTTTTTAACAGTACCGTTATATGGGGAGTGGGCGGAGTTGCCACCCGATTTCAACTATTTTCACACCGTCAATAGAAGTGCTAAAAACATTTGCTTCTAGTGAATTTTGTTATTATAGATTAGCGGTTTAGGAGATATGCAATTAAACCTATTAGAGGCGGAACACGCCCACTTTTAAAAAGTTTAACTGCAGATGCCCCTCCCTAATGTGATCCTGTGTACCAAATAACAGTCTTGTATCTTATTGCGGAGCTTAGTTATGGCAAGTTATTTGTTTTTGATTAATGGCGTTTTGTGGGCGTGGCAGTGGTCCGCTTACGCCCATCTGCAATACCAACCGTCTCACGGTACCAAGAAACATGTCTACCAAGTTTCATAAAGATATCTCAATTTTTACTCAAGTTAGAGCTTGCACGGACGGACGGACGGACAGACAGTCACCCGGATTTCAACTCGTCTCTTCATCCTGATCATTTATATATATATAACCCTATATCTAACTCGATTAGTTTTAGGTGATACAAACAACCGTTAGGTGAACAAAACTATTATACTCTGTAGCAACAGGTTGCGAGAGTATAACAAGTAAGGAAGAGCTACGTACGGATGTAACCGAACATTTTATACTCTCGCAAAGTCAAATGGTACACCCGTTTGAGATTTCTTTGTGGATTGACTGATATTTTCGGTAGAAGGTCAACTATATGCACTGGGGTCCACATATTTAGTACTTAGGGGCTTGAACAGTGTCGGTTCGGTTTAGACAATTTTTGGTCACAAGGTGGCATACTTTAAACGTATTATTCAAGCAAAGTTTTACCCCGATATAATCATTGTTGCTTGATATGCATAATGGGAAGTGAAAGAATCAGATGGAATTGAAAATGGTGTTATATTGGAAATAGGCGTGGTTGTAGTCCGATTTCGCATATTTTCGCACTATAATATAGAAATTTAAAAACCGAATTTTGTTGAAATTGGTTAAGCAAATCTCAAGATATGGGTTTTCACCTAAAAGTAGGCTGTGCCACGCCCACTGTCTAATTTTGAACGTGGTTCCTATAAAGTCATCTCATACCATCCCAGAGATAAAATTTAATGTCTCTGGCGTGTTTAGTGCTTGATTTATCGCGCTTTAAGTAGTTTTTAACAGTACCGTTATATGGGGAGTGGGCGGAGTTGCCACCCGATTTCAACTATTTTCACACCGTCAATAGAAGTGCTAAAAACATTTGCTTCTTGTGAATTTTGTTATTATAGCATTAGCGGTTTAGGAGATATGCACATTAAACCTATTAGAGGCGGGACCACGCCCACTTTTTAAAAAAAGTTTTAACTGCAGATGCCCTACCCTAATGTGATCCTGTGTACCAAATAACAGTCTTGTATCTTATTGCGGAGCTTAGTTATGGCAATTTATTTGTTTTTGAATAATGGCGGTTTGTGGGCGTGGCAGTGGTCCGATTACGTCCATCTGCAATACCAACCGTCTCACGGTACCAAGAAACATGTCTACCAAGTTTCATAAAGATATCTCAATTTTTACTCAAGTTACAGCTTGCACGGACGGACAGACAGTCACCCGGATTTCAACTCGTCTCTTCATCCTGATCATTTATATATATTATATATAACCCTATATCTAACTCGATTAGTTTTATGTGATACAAACAACCGTTAGGTGAACAAAACTATTATACCCTGTAGCAACAGGTTGCGAGAGTATAAACATTACAATAATTCCGTTTCAGAACATATGCATTGGTAGTTTGAAAGTGAAGTTACGTTCGGAAAATACTAAAAAAGTAGCGTATTTTTCGGACGGCGCTGCTTCCCAATATAAAAACAAATACAAAATTAATAAATTCAATTATCTTTTTAATGGATTTTGGTGTCGAGGCTAAATGGCAAGGAATCGACGGTACCGTAAAAACATGCCTACCGGTCCAGTTAACAACAAAAACGAAATACTTCACCAAAACTGTGATATCAATGGGCAACGAAAGTTTGCAAGAAAACTGAGCTTAGTGCAATATCATGCAACGTGAATCAAACCGGCAAAAGGAAAACACGGATAACTTTTGATCAAGTGAAAGCTTTAATGTTTTTCTTTTTGCGTATGGTTATTAAATAAGGAATAATACGTCATGAAACAAATTTTCTAAAGCGATAGAGAAGTTGAATTTAATTGATTTGTTTAAGAAAATGGTTTATATTTTTTACAAACTTTGTTTTCTGCGAAAATTAGTAATATCAAACGAAAGAGGACATTTTCACTCATAATCGTTCTGTATATAAACGAAATCGGTTCGGTCTGTTAAAAGAAAATAAATATTTTCCAAGATTGTGCAGAAAAATATGAATAACTCAATAACTCTCGAAATTTTTCAAATTTTTAATTTACCGTTTAGAGCCAAAAAACTTTTATTGTATGAGAAAAGCTCGACCATCGAAAAAATGTGGGTATACTTGGGAGATTTTGTCTCGTATGTCAGTTGCAGTTTCATCAATGTGGTCTATTCGACATAAACAGTCGTATGAAATATGTGCACGTATGTTCAAGCCCGAATACATATATTGCACATAATTTTTATACATACATACATACATAGATTAAATTTGAATTTATTTATTCATATGCACTCATTAGGCTCAGTAGTACATCGAATATTATATTAGCATATACATAAATATGTATGAGCTTATATGTTTGGAAATACATACGAAATATACATACAACTCTGCCTTATATTATATAGCTTTGCTATAATATTAATTTATATGTATATTGGGATAACTACAGTGGCCTTTTTGGCTATATGATGACGGCATCGATTTATCGTTTTCTTGTTTGTGTATTAGCATTTAAGTGTTTATGATATTCACGTATATGTTTTTTTTTTTATCTCATTTGTATTTCTAGTTGGCATGCCCATAGCATATAGAATAAAAATGTTATTGCCGAAACCACTGTTTATTTGAAAAGTCAAGATGTTTAACTAGACCTTTATTTTAAATGAAACAAAAAATTTTCTTACATAATCATCATGAAGCAATACTTGTGTTTCTTTCTTTGTTTATTAATTTGTATTACACTACTTTTACACTCGTACATACATAATCTCATTTATATATATATTGTATGTTTAAATTAATACACTTCAAATACGAGTAAATTTTTAACCTTTATTCTCTCTCTAACTCTGTTATTTTATTTCCTGTGCAGCTTTTACATGATAAGTAATTAATATATGTATATATCAAATACAATTATTTTAATGTGTAGGTGTTTGCAATGTTTACAACGTACGCTGTGACAATGACTTCGTTGAACAGCATTCTTTTTTACCGGATGTAGTCTACAAAATTATCATTGTGGTTTTCTTTGCCATTTTTTATCTTTACATTTGCTTTTGTTTAATACCTAAAGTTATTTATATGCATAAGCTTTTATGGCATTCGAACGTTACACAAAAAGTAATTTAAGTTTTAGTTATAAGCCGAGGTAAACATGTTTGAATTATCCCATTCCAACTGGCTGACATTTGAAACCCGACCTTTTACCACTGAAAAAAGTTAAGAAAAGCTTGTTATAAATATATTTTATTTATAAATTCTAAAATAAATACAAGTAAAACACTAACTTCGGTTGAACCGAAGCTACTATACCCTTCACAAAGTAAGAAGTTTTCATACAAATATTGGATGCTGATGGTTCAGTTTGTATGACAGCTCAAATGAAAAAGTTTTCGATACAAGCACTATGTTCTTTATTATATACACTCACTTCGTTTCACTACTCCATTTTTCTTTGTGACGGAGATATTTAAATTAAAATTAATGTACCAACAACTGCTGTGAGTGAGTACCAAGCCCATAATTTTTACTACCGCACGACGAAATATTTTCGGTTAATTTTGTTAAGTCTTCTTCCATAGAGATATGAACTCAACCAAAGGAAGAAAATATAATAAATTAGGCATGTGAGGGAAAAGTCATTAAGAGGTGCGTAAATCGTTACATATATTGTATTAGAGGTAAGCGGTTGAGATCAAGGTCTAGACTGATTTCGTTCATACTCAACGCTAATGCTAAAAATTATTACATGTATGGGTGTATGCATTAATTCGTGCGGTTTTTTACGAAAATTAAGACTTTATTGTGAAAAA